CTGACATCTTAGCCCTTCATTTGCTGTCCAACAGGCATCATCTGGGTTTGTTTTGCGTTACAGTCTAATATTAAGCACTCTTGCAAAACTGTTCTAGAAAACAACGGACTACTTTTGGAAGTCTTCTTGGAGACATGGTGGCTACGATCCAGCAATGTGCCCTTGTGTCCAAGAAGGTCAATGGTACCCCGGGGTGCATTAAGAAGAGTGTCCAGCAGGTCGAGGGAGGTTCTCCTTCCCCTCTACTCTGCCCTGGTGAGGCCATATCTGGAGTACTGTGTCCAGTGCTGGGTCCCCCAGTTCAAGAGGGACAGGGAACTACTGGAGAGAGCGCAGTGAAGGGCCACGAAGATGATTAGGGGACTGAAGCATCTCTCTTAGGAGGAAAGGCCGAGGCACCTGGGTCTGTTTAACCTGGAGAAGAGAAGACTGAGAGGGGATCTTATCAGTGCTCATAAATACCTAAACGGCAGGTGTCAAGAGGATGGGGCCAGGCTCTTTTCGGTGGTGCCCAGTGACAGGACAATGGGCAACGAGCACAAACTGCAGCACAGGAAGTTCCACCCAAACATGAGGAAAAACTTCTTTACTTTGAGGGTGGCAGAGCACTGGAACAGGGTGCCCAGGGGTGTTGTGGAGTCTCCTTCTCTGGAGATACTCAAAACTTTTGTCTTTCCTATATTCAGCATAATACCACACAGTTTTTGATATTTTTCCTTCTTCAGAATTGTATTGCGCACTGTAAATCCTATGAGTAGGAGACTTACACCTCCAGTGGTATCAGCACACATGTTCCCCATCCTCAGTCACTTTGAGGTTGTCAACCAAATTTTGACTGGTGCTGTGTCTAGCATGGTGGGAAATGGCCCTATCTCTGAGACACTCCTTCCCCAGACTACTTCAGTTTATAGGACCTAAAGGTCCTATGTTGCACCAAAGTGGCCTGTAGTGTTTCAAAGAAAGTCTGCAATTGTAACATAGCTGGCTTCTCTTTGAAATAATTGGTATGTTTAGTTAGATTAAGTCTCTGTGAACACATAACTACGTGACATCTGCTCTTCGTTACAGATAAAGGTAAGAAAATGCTGAATTGTGTCATGTAACCAAGTAGCAGAAACATTATTGGCCTCTCCCAATATGCAAGCTCTTGCCACCTTGTTAAAAATGTACATATATGACCTAAGTGTGGTTTGGTCTCCACAAAGTGCCACAAAAGCACCAGCAGCAAAAAGCTGCAGAGGTCAGTGGAGAAAAAACTGCTGGCAAGAACTTTTGGGCCAAAGGTTGACTAGAAAAACTTTAGGGCTTTCAGTAAATAAATGGTTTCTTATTGTTTCCTTCCAGTTGTGTCCTCTGTACACAAAGATGCCTTGTTCCAGCACCAGCTTCTTCTCCTCAGCAAAACAACTCACAGAGCCTGAATTGTGACTAAATGCTTGGGTCAAGACAGGGTAATGGCATTATAATTAAACTGAGGAATACGAGACGTGTACATGACAGTTTACACACACAGAGCAAGATAAGGGCACTGCCTTGATGCTCTCAGAATCAGTTAGTACCTACCTATCATGAACACTGTAGGTAACAAAATGCTTTAGACACAGATACTAGGCGCATTTACGTGCTCTTGCATTCTATATTTTTAAAAAAGGAATTGCTTGCGTGGCAGCCAGTTAATATAAATCCTTTAAAGTCATGTGTTCAGATACCACATAAATATAATAAGCTTCTGGCTAAAGAAATAGAACTAATTAAGTGGGAATTGATGGGTCATTGTTTTGATCAGTCTCTGTTCTTAGAAGCCGAGTAGCTCAGATGTGCAGGTAAGCTACTTGGTTTTGACTAATAATCAAAAGTTATACTGTGTGACAAGCACCAGTGACAGATATGCATAAAATGTGTCAATCTTGGATGGTTACTTTTACTACACTTTCATCTGTCACAGTACTACAACACTGGAAGCTACCTTCCAACTCTTAGGCTTGCAGGTGAGATGCTCATTAGGTGCATGTGTATATAGTTAGGAAAGTAGTTCCTGAAATCCACGCAACAGTCACCTGAGTACTAAATATTTTGAAGCCAGTTTCTTAAAGACTTTTTCATTGTTTCTGCCATATCATAATGTAGTTACACAGAACAAGCTAATCAGTAAAATACCTTCTGACTGGACCTGTTTTGTATCTGTTTAGAAATCTAAGTGGCTTTTTGAAAGCATGAAACAGAACCAGAGAGAGTTGTAGATTTTGTTAATCACAGATCAGACCAACACATGCAGTATCCACTTGTCTTCCAGCAAAAAGATGGTAGAATGTGTCTTCTGCTCCTCCCTCCCCACATGGCTTCTCAAGCACACCAGTCCTTGAATTAGAGTACTTAGGTACAAGCTTGTGTTGTTACTCAAATCCACCAATATGAAATATGAAAACCAATGCACATTCCACAATTGGAGGACACCTAATCTCCACAGGAAATAGCTACCTTCAAAGAGAGGGTTAGAGTACCTCAATGGAGGCCACATCTGCACTTATTTGAATGACCTTGGGGCTCAAACCTGCTCACTTACAGCTGAATTCCACTGAAGAAGGAGCCAAAAAGTCCGATCATGCCCAGGAATTCCACTCTACTCAGATTTCGAACGATATACTCCTCACAAACGTTCGAGATGCCGTATAGCGTTGCTCCTCCCAGTACTAAGAGGTCCCCTATCAGTTTATTTTCACCTAGGAATAAACGGGAAAAATCAGAATGTCTCAAAACAACCACGTTTTGTCTAGAACCATTTCAAGTTCTTCCCTACAGATTTCAGTCCTCAGTCACTAAGTAGCCCATATCTGGGTTAATAAGCTGAATGCAAATGTTCTGTCATTTTAACAGTTTTCATTCAATACCCCAGCAAAATCTAGCAGAGGCAAAGGGAGAGCATTATTCTTGTTGTAGATAAGAGAATCTGAAAAATTTGTAAAAAAAGTATAGAAACCAAGTGGCATTCTTCAGTGACTAATCCTTTATTTTACTATTATTACTATTTTTTTTGCAGACAGAATGCGATTCAGAGCATTTTGCATCTCATCTTGAAGCCTAACCAGTCTAAAACATGTCCAGTATTTAGATGTGAAACCAACTGAAAAATTCCGTGTACCTGCGAAATGAGTGAAGAAATCATTACAACCCCAGTATTGACCTCAATCTCGCATGAAGCTGTTTGACAAGAAAGAGAGGAAGAAGGATGGGCTGTAGACAGGGTGATGATAATGACGGATTTTTAAAAGAGGTTCAATTAACATAGCAGTACCTAACACGTGCAATGAACACCAAGATGTATTTTCAGTACCTCCAGGTACACATAATTACTAAAACACTGTATTATCAAAGACTGTTTGAAATCTTTTTAAGTCTTGGAGGCTTTTATCACTGTGGCATGTGGAGGGCTGCAGGATCAAGTTCCAGCTTGAAAACGGAGACCCTGGCTTTGCAAACTGATGCATGCAATTCCCTTTGCACATATGGCTTGTTAAACGATTTCTACAAGAGCTACAGCTTCACAAAGCTGTCAGACATTGCTGCAGAACCATATTCTGAAAGGCTGGATATAATGGAATTTCCTTTGAAAAGGTTCAGTAGAAATGCTGAAGTACTAGACTGCATTTTTGTTTTGAAAGAAACCTTGTTTTCTTTCAAAATACCTCTTGATTTATTTTTTGAGTTCTCGCCTTTGTAAGTTTCATTGTTATCGATTAGTAAAATAATCACTGTAGTAAATAAAAATGGAAGTCAAACATTCTGATTGGGTCACAATTATCTGTTCTTTTTCTTTATGTAGCTCTTTCAAGGCTTCAGTTTTCATTCCAAATTAAAGTGCTGAGATTTCCAGTAAGAAAAAATTTATTAAAATAAGAATGGCCGTATGAGGACAGACCAAGGGTTCATTTATCCAGTATCCTTTCTCCAACACTGGCTATAAGCACCATAAAAGTATAAGTTGTTTGGGGACAAATAGGAATGGGGTGAAGTTTAAAATACTCCTAGTAATACCCTCTTAGTCTCCAGCATTTTTCAGAGCAGAGATGTGGCTTCTGTGTTGTGAAGCAAACATCACTAGATTTCTCTTTCATGTACTCATCCAGTCTCTCACTGAATTTCTGTTTTGCATGTACCTTGACTGACAGCATGTTTATATTTCACTATTTATCTTTTAAAGATTTGGTACTTATTTTCCTTTTAGCCTTCTTTTGCAATCAGCCATGGAAGATGTCCTTAATTTAAAATAAGCATCAGCACTTTACAAAACCTCTTCATACCCCTGATGCACTTGATATTCCACAGTGGCTCCAATCATCCCTCACTGAGCTCATTCATTTGGTTTTTATTACAGCTACTCACTGACACTTTGGGGAAGTACTCCTGAAAAAGCTTTTGACCTTAGAGCTTGGCTGTACTGCACTGCTGAGATAAAAATATCATCATTTTGCATCTGCAAAACAAAGACAGCTCAGGGGCTGAGTGTTTTCACAGAGATGGGATGGCCCCAAGCACCACACCGTGATGGTGCTCCCTAAAGCGCACTCATGCTCGGGGAGTGTGAGCCTCAACCTTCAGGGCTTTCCTAGAAGAGGAAGCCAAGATCTGGTCAGAGCATGGGTCTGCCCAGCCCAGGACCCTCCTCTCACACTGGACAGCACAGGGTGGCTGAGGAAAGCATAAAGAAATAGGGAAGCACAGAGAGATTTTAATCAGCCAGTCCTCAGTCGATTAGGGATTTTCTGAGATGGAAGTCGTTAGACCATCAAACTTAATAGATCTTGAGGCATTCTTCACTAACTTGTGTAAAGTCCACATATTTTTGGCCTACTCTTAAAAAGTATTTCATGTTTTTAGCTTTTAAGCCTGAAACCTCAAAATTATATTTAGCACCCCTTAATTTTCTGACTGTGAGAAATATTTAAGAATCATTCTGTATTGATCCTCTCCATACCACTGAAGACTTCATCCACCTTTATCATATTCTGTTTCTTGCCTTTTCTGAGATGAAAAGTTCCAGTCTGCCTATAGTCTCTTCATCTTGAAGCCATTTTATGCCCTTGAAGAGCTTTCTCACTTTTTCCATTGCTTCTATAGGCTTATTCTCTGGTCATTTCTTTTTGAGATGCAGTGACTAGAGTACTCAAGAGGTTATTGCATCAAAACACTATATATACTGGCATAAAAATGTTTTATACTGTTTTTTTTTATTTCTTTCCTAATAATTCCTAGCATCCTCATTGTCAAATGCCTTTTCTTTGCTTCCTCAAGAGGCTGACTTTCAAACTTTCTCCCAAGATTGACATATCCTAATAGACATATTTTCACGAATGTAAAATCCACATGCACCTCCTAGTTTCATTGCTAAGGAAATATATATCAACTGACTAGAATTATTCTAAAGACTTTTAGGTTAATACAGTTGTACTTGACCAATTTAATGGCGTAGGTCATTCTTCTGAAGAAACACAAGGCATAGCTTGGCAAAACACGCTTTGCATTAATCATTGTTAGCATATTTCATGTTTTCTGGAAGCAGAATTCATACAGTCCAGAAAGGAGTTAATGTTTTGGGGACTAGTTATAGCACTACAGTGTAAAATAAATCATTTCAATATGAACTATGTTCTGACACGATTGCTTTTCACACTCTCACTAGGCCACTTTGCCACATTTTTACCTTAACCCCGAGCATTAAGAGGCGTTTCTCTTTGCTTTTGGTTGTAATTACTGATGATCATAACATCTAAAAATCTGTCTCAGTCTCAATGTGTCCCACCCTAGACTAAACATACTCTCATATACTTATTACCAACACTGAAGTGATTTGTTTTCAGACTGTGGTAAGCTGAAGCTGTGAAGTGCTTTCAAAACTCTGGATGAAACACTTAGACTTCTGTGTCTTAGACCCCTGTGTATTACAGGAGCACAAGTACCAAGGTATCGCAGGGGTATTAGTTCAGGAAAGTGCTATTTTAAGGTATACTTGGCCTGTAAGGTGATAGAGTACTTGATAGTACTGGCTTTTCCCATTGAGTAATGTGCAAAACATCAGTCAGGATACAATAAAAAGAGGTAAACTACCATACATTTATCGAAAATTGAGAGCACGCCTGCACATTATACCTAATTCCTGCAGATAGTTTGGAAAATACCTGTTAATCTCTCAGTGATGCATTTTAAATTCGTGTTCCCTTAGTGTAAGAGATGGCAGGCTAGATTGCTGCATGCAGTAGGTGCCTAGCAGAGCCTTATGGCGCTTCTAATACAGTAAATAGTACGGTCAGCAGGGACACACAGGCGTCAACAGATCTTGTCCCCTAAAATATAGGATAAACAGAGGAGTTTACTGAGGACTAATACAGCATCATTGGTTTGGTGTATTCTTTTCTTTTGTTTGCCCAGTCCTAGGAAATCTCCTACAAATGGCGTGGAACCCCTTTTTTTTTTTTTTTCTTTTGCTGCCAAAACTTATTTTTATTTGTTGATTTTTAATGTATAATTTACCCCTTCAGACAAATTAAACTAGCTGATCTATTTTACACTGTTAAAGACAACAACATTAAGATCATTTTGCCACTTAAAAAAACAAAGCTGCAGTCTCTGCATAGCAGTAAGCACAGTTTTTCATGTGTAGGTCTGAATTAAAAGGCCAAAATGCATGTTAACAGATTTTTCTGGACAAATTACCTAACAGATATACCTGTGCTTTAGTAATGAACATGGCAAATAACATCTAACTATTGCAGTTGGATGGCAAAATGTCAGTGTTCTTCAACCTGTTCCTTATCTGCTGAGGCCCATTGCCCCACACACTCCCGCTGATCCACAATGCCCCCGCCCTAGCATGTTACTCTCTAGATTTCTGGGACACGGGATGTTTCCTCTGGAAAGCAGGGTTGAAATCCCAGTCCTTCTGATAGCAGTCATTCCCAATGCAGCTTTGGCTGGCTGATTTCATAGTACAGAGTATATTCTTTACTTTTTGGCTGGGGCAGGGCTACTTCTGGAGGAGACCAATGAACTAAAAGTCTCCTTTTAGGATAAAGGACAGGGATAAAGGGGGGAAGGGAGATATGGTGAGTACTGTCACAAACTCCTTTGTTTTATTTAGTAGCATCCTGGCAAATGCAGGTCTTACAGCACTTGCATTTGTATTCAGAAAGCTGAGTCAAGAATTTTAAATCCCAGTGTATTATGCTCAGCTCACAATTCAGTGCTTTTAATTAAGAATGAAAACTGTGCCTAATTGACAATCTTTGAAAAGAATTTCCAGCCTTCCCACATCATTCGGGTTGGCACTAGAGAAATCAATGTGACAGAGGAAGTTGATCGCTGAAATCTATCTCTGTCTAGTGGGCATTAATAGCCACACGCACATTATTCATATGATGCTGCACATGAAAAAGAACTTTTTACACACAAGAAGGTTATTTTCAACAATGACACAGGCAAATCCCAAACCTTTACTCTGGGACTGTGTGCAAAACCCAATTGGTACAGTTAGTATGTAGGTTCAGTGTCTTTTAACATCTACCCAGCAACCCCATCTCCGTACATAAAAGAAGCAAAGTTGAGGAGAAGTAGAGAGTACACAGTGGACGTGAAGGTGCTTATGACTCAAAGTTGCAGCCAATTTGGAAAGGAAGCAACTGAGGTTTGAAGTCAAGCAACTAAGCCAAAACAGAATGAAACTACAAGTATTTAGCTTGTCCCTCCAGCCTGCACAGAGGGTGACCTGTGCTGCAGACACTGTTTGCAGCAGGGCTGACTCCTAAGGGTCGACACGTTTTTGTTCTCTGTCCCTTCTGACAAAAAAGCAACTTTGAATGGTGCAGTGCTTTGGATGCATGAAGGCACAGGGTTTATTGACAATTTTCCACCTTTTTTTCTCCCAATCTGACGTGTTCTGGTTAATGGTTTCTCTGAACAGAACTTGGTCATACAATCCATCCATCCTTACTCACCTGCTCCTTGCTGTCTCCCAACGAGGACATCTGCTCCTGCCATGCAGCCCATGCCCAGAATGCAGACCACGATCCCAATGAAATGTACTGCCTTGTATCGTACCAGTAAGAAGAACCAGGAGAGCAGTATCACCACTGGGATGACAAAACAGTCTAGGAGCTGTCAAGAAAGACAGGAAAAATCAACAAATCAACCTGCTAACACTTTGTCCTAAAATACTAGGATAGATTCCAGCAGAGGGTAGCAGGGTTATTTAGTTAGTAATAGCACTTTCTACCAGACAGAAAGTGTATTCAAGTGGTTATGACATCCATCAGACAGAGGATAAGACTATTCTGTTCATGACTGTTCCACAAATTCAGGAGAGCTCTACGGTAACACCCAACTGCCTTGCTCTTGGATTCAGATGCATATTTCAAATCCATGGGAGGGAAACCTGGGCCAAAAGAGGGCCCCACCACTCCATCTGGTCTTGACCTCTGGTGATTAACGGACAAAGACTGAGGGCGGTTTTCCTGCAGTCTAGACATATGCTTTAATTCAGTCATTTCAGGTCCAATTAGCAGGAACGTTCATAACACACAAGTTGACCAGATTTATTAAATCTGGACATATAAATCAAGGGGTTTCCGCATGCAGAATACTTATGAAAAATCTGCCCCCTGTGGGGACTGTTAACTCCTTGAAAATACAGTCCCATATGTCTCTGAAGGAAAAAAAAAAAAACACAACCAAAAAACCACCTTGCCTGCAGCGCAAGAAACTCAATCTTCTTGCCAATAGACCCCAGGTAAGAGCTTTCTCAAATAAGTGTTATGAAACACAACTTTTAATTGTTTTTTTCAGAGACACCCAGCAATAAACCTAGAGAACCTGTGACAAAAAGAGAAATGCACCAAATGTGAGAGGACCTTGAGATTTTCAAATTAAAACATATTTTAGAAACTAGTAGTATGTCACCAGGAAACAAAAATCCTGGATAAGAAACACCCAAAGAAACTTGACTTTAATCCCACTTCCTAAAAGGATACCCATAATTAAGAGTCGCAATTCTGTGGACTAACAATGGGATTTAACAAACTGTGCAGGGTACGCTACTGTTCAATGCTGATTGATTTAGCAGGAACCAGAGTTATATGATTGCATCTTCTTCCTCATGAAAATGTCTGGAACAACCGAAGGAGGAGACTGTGTCCATAGTTTTGGAAAACTACTCCAGATGTTGTGACCTGGATTTTAGATGGTTTTTCTTCCCTTTGGGCCTATCACCTGCCACTTGCTCTCTGAGTGCGATTTACCACTAAGCACACTACATATTATCAAATAATGATCACATTCCTTGTAACTTCTTTATCCATGCCTTATCTGAAGAGAAAAAATTTTTGAATGATTTCTAGAATTTCAGTGTTTAAAAAATTACTCTTTACATACGAGATACCTATGTAATAAATATTAAATTTGGGGCATCAGCAAAAATATAAAAGCCAATTTTTGACTAAGGATAATTTCCTTGAAACTCTGTTTGAAAAACGAGAGTGTGCAGTGGAAACAAATTCATTTCAATGATTCTCCAGACCGTGAGTAGCAAAAGCCTTCAGAAGAGAACTGGTTCTGCAGCAGGACCATCCTGCTCTCGGGAGGCTCAAACAGTCCCAAAGAACTGCAGAAAAGATGAGAAAAATTACAAACGGGAAGGGTCCGTGCTAAAAGCAGGTTCTGCATTTAAATGAGAGCTAATCATCTAAAAGGTACAGTCAGGCCCCTTTACAGTGAAAACTTCCTCCAGCAGTCACCAAAACACCGCCCTTCACAGACTGAACACAAAAAGGGACAAGGTCTGAAAGAACTGCATCAAGGTCCTTCATCTGCATAGGAGCTCTCTGAAAAGCTGGTAACGTTTCCAGCATGTAACACAGAAAACACTCAGTAACTAGTCTGCAAAACATGCATATACCAGACACCACATACACAAGAACAACTTCAGAAGTCACTCAGCTGGGAGCAGCAGGCTTCTGGAGCAGGGAGGGGTGGTGGGCAGTGCCTACCAGGCGTACGCATTAAATCCTGGCATGTGGTGCAGGTGAGGTGGCACCACAGCCTTCTCTTGTCGCTGGAAGGTGCGACGAATCCCACCTAGCCAGCACAGATGTCACTGCTGCATGGGTAGCATCCACTGCCTATTTCTCATGTGTTGTGGATTTCTGCACTTCACCAACGCAGTCCTAGCATGTACCAGCAGTAGGCAGCACATCCGAGGCAAGCTCACTCTTCAGTGTAACCTATGTGATGTGGACACAGTTCAACACCTCCCCTCTCAATCCACAGCTCATATCATCATGCCTGTACATGCTGGTTGTGTGTTCTTCATTAGCTGTGCTGGCACACAGTGCACCCATTACCTCTGCTGAAGACGGAGGGAAAGTGGTACCAAACAGTAGGGAGGCAGTTACTCCTTACACTGCTCATAGCTATCCCTGAAAGTGTGAATGCCTCTATCCCTTTCCCTCTCAGTGCAGCATTGAACAGGTGAGCTTAACTCACAGTTTTCTGACCTCATCACAGTTGCCCCCTACTTAAAGTGTGGCTACAAAGAAGATGGAGGCTCTTACTTCACCAGGAGCCACAAGAAGAAAACAAGGGGTAACGGGTACAAGTGGCACTGGGAGAGGTTTCATCTCCATATAAGAAAGAAATTTTTTGCATCGGGAACAATCAATCACTGGAAGAACCAGCCTCCCCAGGGACGTGATAGAGTCCCCATCACCGAAGGTTGTCATGATGTGATTGGACAGGGTGCTAAATCATCTCATCTATGGTCCCATTCCCACAACAGGTTGGACCAGGCAATCTTTGGAGGTCCCTTCCAAGCTGGGCTGTTCTATGAGTCTAACTTAACTGGTAGCTGGTGTCAAATCAAGGTGGAGAAGCTCACATAGGCAGGCACCTGTATCACCTTGGAGAAAGCAACCAAAATCTGTTGCCTGTAAGAGCTACCTTCACGTGGCTCAGCGCACATACATGGCTTCCCTTCCACACTGTCCTCCTGGAGTCACCAGTAACCAGTAGGTTATACCAACTCAATTATTTCTGCACTGAAGAAGAAAAGAGGCACCCTTACACTTGACTTAGAGCTGCATGTGAGTAAAATAGGACCAGCCAGAGGTACTGCACAGTCTGCCATTGACTTCCTCAGGCGAGCACCTAAGATTTGAGCACCCTCTTCCCCATACACACACATACACATACCACCACCTCAGAGTCAACTGCGCCCAAGACAGAGCAGAAAGCCTCATGCAACAGTTAAGCACAGAGGTGTTTTAAGAAACCATTTAATAACTAAGACAGTAAGTGTCTGCAAGCATCTTTCCATTTCTTTTCTGTGCAAAAGTAAGTGAACCTCAGCCATCACTGGACCAACTATTTTATTTTTGCAAAATCAGGAGCTGTCTAAACAGTGTTTAAGAATAGATTTAAGACTACGAAGATGTCACCTTTCAGTCACTAACTACCTCTCTCAAGAGATACAGATTGACTCAGCAGATATTTTTAACCCCTAACGTCCGGAACCCCTTTGGCCACCTTTGCACACAGGACACGACACCACACATTCATTGTTGGACAGGAGCTCTGATGAGGGCTGCTGTATTTCGGGCTAAACACACAAAAAGAACATTTTCTTGTGAATATGAGATATATTAGGGTGCTAGTGTGATTTCAATAGCCAGTTTTAAAAATGGTTTGTACCTGCAGCATGTGTACTTCAACATGCAAATTCCCACTAACAGTCTTTTAGAGGAAGATTTAAAAAATTCCTCTCATTCCATAAATATTTAAACATACCTATGCTTTCAAGTATGTGAAGATGTGTCTTTCAAGCACTAACATGAAGGGATGCATGAACAGAATCTATCACAAACAAACCACGCTGACAGCAACTGGAAAATGCCCCTTTGGGGCTGGTAGTCCAAGCTCTAATCCACAAATTGCTATTTGGATACTGCAGCATCAATAGATATAAATATTAAATGCAGGTAATGTTCATTGACATCTCATAGTTCTTGAATTATGCTTAGTTTATACCTATAAATAAAGAATGGGGTAGACACAAATAAATTAGTTTACTACAATATAAGCAATAAGATAACCTAGTGTATATTGCTTATCCATTTTTCAGGTATTGCTTTACATTTAATTTAATGTTCTACAGACAAAAGATGTGAGATTGTGGATTATCTGATCTGCAACAGGGTCTTCTTGGTTTTGGTGTGGGTTTTTTTTGTTTGGTTGGTTGTGGTTTTTTCCTTTCTTTTATTTGTTATTAGTTATTTCAGCTATTAAGAAAAAAACATTACACCTAACTGTCGTTTTTGTGACTAGAAAGCTTTTACAGTAACAAAGATAAATTATGCTTAGCTTGAATTTCATTTATCGTGGATAAAGGTCAGTTGTTTACCAGTATTTCCCTAAGAATCATCGATATTCTCCTTCTTTTAATTGCTTATTCAAAAGGTATTGCCTATACTCTGACATTAAGTTAAATTAATGAGTGATCTGATCTCAATCAACATTCCTGTTAATCAGAGAAGTTATCAGATCTCACTAAACTAAAAGAAAACATATTTCCTGTTTGCCATGGGAAGATGATAAAACTGACAGAAGTGCGTAGTGCAGACCATGTTCTTTGATGCTGTTGTGTTTGTCTGTGGTTTTCTTCAGTTGCAGTTCTGAATTGGGCTGCTTTGGAAGGCAGCATACAAAAATACATAACCTATTGATATACTGTCCTACAGAAACTCCTTTCTATTATAAAAATGCTGTGTTGCTGTAGAGATTGCAGATTATCATTTGACTCTAAAACATATCACACTGGATCTAAGTCTGTTGATGATACACAATGGCGAAATGTATTCCCTCCTGTTACTTATTTGTTAAATTACATTGACTTTATTATTCTTGTCAATCCGAGACAAATATTCTCTTGCTAACAGTAAATATCCAATCTCTGATCTCACAAATTCAGCATGCGTTTGCACATCTATAGCAAGAATGTACTGTTAGTCATTGGAAAGGAGAGCTGGCAAGCTTTAGAAGAAAGGGTCTGTAATACAGAGCGTGTACTGCTGATCGGCAGCGATATCAAAAAGAAAAAAGCTGGTCAG